TTGTTTCTTTGTTCCCTTTGTCTACAGAGGAGAAAAGAGTCAAAGAACAATGGTTGGGAAAAGTAAAGAAATTAAGTGCAGCAAAGTGTAAAACTCAATCCTGACATTTGACTGAAACTGCAGCTCAACTTCATCCATGCTGATTTACATAATAAAAACATAATGGATTCTGTTTACTTTTGGAGAGCAGCAGATTCCTCCGTGGTGCTGTACAGTATGTTCTACGAGCAGTATTTTAGGACAAAAATTTTAACAAGTGAGTAGGCGGAATCTGCTCATGAGTTTTGTATGGTATGTTCCAAAACACGTGCAGAGAGTTTGTCAGTTGCTGTTTCCAAGTTCAGAAGTCAACTGTCAAGCTTAAATTTCAAGGCTCATTTTAGGACGAACCATAAGTCAAGATGAAATAAAATGTCTTCTGATAAAACCTATAAAACCTACAAAACACTGGTAGTAAAGGCACAAAAATTCCTTACAGTGTCAGGAGTGCATAAGTATCTCTCCACAGCCTATATAGCTGTAGAAGCTGAGAGAGGTAAAAAGGGGCTAATCCATGTACAGCTTTATAGCTCTAAATTTAACAGGGAGTCAATGTAGGAAGCCAAGACAAGTATAATGTGCTCCCACTTCCTTGTTCCAGTTAAAAGATGGGCAGCAGCATTGCTGCAAGCATGCTAGTGAAGCCTGACTAACACCAACATACAAGCCAGTACAACAGTCCAGTTGATCTGAAATAAAAGCATGTATGACCTGTTCAAAATCTTTTTGTTACAAAAGGATTAACCCTAGATAGACGCCGCAGTTTTACATGATGAAATACATAGATGGGTTTATTTATTTCGTGTGATTTTAAGGGAGCCGTGCAATAGTCGGATGTGTATGGATGTGAGTGTGTAATTTATGATTATTTTATTATCGAAGGATTGCATTTTAATTTCGTTGTACAATGTACAATGACAATAAAGAAAGATATATAACAATAACAATTCTAATCCTAAGTCATTAAATCTGTTATTCAGAGAAGCTCAACCACATTGTTAATATCACTACTCACAAGAAAGTGTTAAATTACAGTAAATTCTACAGAAACGCGCAGTAAAATTGGGTTTACAACTGCAACCAAAAAATATCTCCTTGTACACTCATTTGTCAGTTGCCTTTTTCAATTAGTTCAGGCAAAAATGTCAGACTAATTTAGAACGATGTCTCACACATTAGTTTATCTGAGTAAAAATCTAAAGACCAAAAGCTCATTTTGCAGTCACAGGAACTTCAATATTGCTAAATTCAAATGCTTTAGCCAGCAAATGCTTTGTATTTTTATTCTATTTGTGACTTAAAATGATTAATCTAATATAAAAAGTCATTTTCTGTCAATCAATTTGGTGTCACATGTATTATCAAGCAATAGAGAAGCAGGTTTTAAATATTATCAATTAATTTAAAAAAGCATACTCTACTCAATTATTAAGTAAACTCAAATAAACCTAATAAACATATGTTACAGTAGAATTTTTGATAGGAGGGTGATACCACAAGCAGCTTCCATATCAAAAATGTCTGCTAGATGCCACCTTTTCTTTTCTACTGAAACAAACAAGATTTAACACATATTTCAAACTTTCACAACACTGAACCCTGTCAACTTGTTCTCTTGATAAAAGCAGTCATTACTATTATATTGTTCCAGTATTCCACAGGAGCACATACGGTACATTAGGCGTGATACTGAAGACTCACATTAAGTCTTGCAGAATGAGCACTGATGGTTAGGATACCTAGATGCCTGTCTCAGTGTGCCACAGTGTTGCTGAGTCTAAAAGCAGAATGCATCTCCACACAAGTTAGTTGTAATAAAATGATGGATGGATGCAGTTAAGCCAAAAGGTCCATTCTGAATTCACTGGGCTTCTCACAGGTTTTGTGTATTTGCTGCTAACAAACTGGTGCTGGTTTGCAGCGGGGCTCCCAAACTTGGTTGATTAACAAACTTAAACCTATAATGACAGTGGCATTGAGCTGCTCAGCAGTGTTTGTTTTTGTTCACTTGTGTGGACAAGGGACGGACTGTGAACACAATCCAGGAGGCAGAAACACTGCTATGAAATCCATTTGCTGGTTAATTCTTGAACCCAGCACGTGCTGACTGAAATTGAATCTAAATTTTTCAGTCACATTTGTTCAGTGGGAGAGTGAAACTGAGAAGGCTGAGATAAAATAGAAAAATACACCAACGTCTCCACAATGTGACACTGCCAGCCTATCACGATCAGTGGCCACAAACCAAGTGAAAGGCATGAGCAAGATGTTTTCATGGATTCACCTAGTCCAAGTGCAAAGTACAACATCTCCAAGGACGCTGACTTTTTCAGGACCACTGTATCTGTACAGTTCCAAATGGAAACATTATCAACTCTCTTAATGGCCCTAAAAAGCCTTGGTCCAGTCGCACAAGAGTTTTAACTTATTTAAAGTAAGAAGTAACAGTGACCTGGGTTATCTTGTATGATACTAGCATATTGCACCATCCTACTCCAACCTGAGCAGAGGTCTACTTAACCTAACATACTGAAAACACTTATGTGATGTGCAGGGACTTTAGCAAATCTGGTTTGGACTATTAACTTCTTACTGTAAGTGATACAGGTACAACATGAAGATGCAGTTTTCTTGGAACACGTTTAGGCCATCATCATGGCCTAGGGGCTAAAACAAATATCACAGAAACTGTAACTTCCCTGATTAAATTGCAGTGAGGGACCTTGTTGACTGTCATTCCCCTATCTTTCACCCCAGAATAAGATATTTTTTCTTGCATCACCACATTCACTGTATAATAACTGAACACTTGACATTTGTGGCAACTGATTACTAACTGGTGTACACTTCACTTTGTCAGTGGTTGACAAGTTTGTACAGTATCGATGTGTTCCTTCTGAACTATCCTCAGCTAAATTATTCATTGCTGCACATAAACAAAATATTTACTCAACTTTCAGAGTTAGGAAATTGACTGGAAGGATTATAACAGGGGACTTGTTGGATACAACTGGATTCACTTCTTGGCAATCAGGGTAATTTGCAATTTCCTGTGTTTAGGCTGACAACATTCTCCAAAGAGCAGCAGAACAGAGTCCACTTATCAGTGCTAATTTAAAGCTGTGAATGGTAGCGCTTTAGAGTTGGTTTTAATTAAATAATGGCTGTGTTAAATTAATTTATGCTTGAATAGGCGTTGATTTCACTATATAATCACCAATCCACTTTTTAGCAAAACAACATTAGATCGGTTTAAACTAATCTACAAATCTACCACAAAGCTACATGATATCTGTAGGCATCTAGTCTTCTTTCAGTGGAATGTCTTGCATAATAAACCTACCTCATTGAAGGAGATCTGGTTGATTTTCATACTTTGGGGTGAACTCTTCCATGTTTTCCCAAAATAGTGTTGGTGGTTTCTATCAAAGAGGGTCACTCGCAGCTGGTAGGTCAGGACGGGTTCCTCCTCTGACACCTCCTGTGAGTAAAAAGGATAGTGTGAAGGCTGTTCCAAGCCCTGAAAGATTTGGTTATATGAAAAGGTAAACTCTTATCAATTAAACACTGCCCAACTTCTCAACAAGTGTCCAAGATCTGTATCCAAGAGTCAAACCCTCAATTCTGCATTCACGTATTCCGCCAATTAACACTCATTCTTCAGCTTAGAAATTAATTCTACAGGGTATAAATGTTCTTGTTTTTGTTCGCTCAAATAAATGGAGACAACAAACTGTGGGTATGAGCCAGTTATCAAGATTAGGCCTATCTGTGGTGTTTGGCAAAATATCCCCAAACCCACATTACACTTGTATGTTGTGCTGGTCATCATAATTGTACGTTTGATAACACACCATTTTTGAACGGAGTAGTAGCCGATTGTATCTTTGTTTTATGACAGCACAAAATCAGACTACACTCGACAAGTTAAAATAATTTAGGTACGCATGAAGCATGTTTCTCCTACGCAGAGCTTCTGCATCTCTACATAGATGGCTGTAAGCAGTCACCTGTCGGAGGTGAGCCGCGGTTACCCGGCTGAGAATGAGTTGGAAGCCGTGGGACTGCGTGAAATGGCTTTCCACAGCCAGGCGGACTGTCTGGCTGGGTGGGGGAACCAACCGGTTTCTCTCAAACACTTCCCTCCAGCTGTCCGCCATAGAAGATACGTCTTCCGTTTTTACCATATTCATTGGTTAATAAAAATTTGCATAACTTGGCAACATTTTCAAAACGTTACATACAGCTGAGCTGTTATAATACATATCCTTTTACACCCATTCAGATTTTCAAACCCGCAGCCGCCATGTTGAAATTGGATTGTACTATAAAGTGCAGGGGTATTCGTCGAGTAAGTGAATGATTTCAAAAGTGGTATTCAAGAGTACAATAAATAATATAATTAAAAGATTAAAAATCAAAAATACATCTATGGAATGACTTAGTTTTCATCAAAACTAAATACCTAAATAAAGTCTTTCAATCGCCGTCTTCAATTCTCTGAACCATTCATTTGGTATTGCCCATGGTGCTGCTTCAGTTGCTATGGTAATGTACACGTTGCCATCCTGCAGGTCTGTTTATAGACCATGTGGCTTCCAAACGTGAAATATATAATATTTAATATAATACTTAAAAATATATAATAAATACATATATTTATTTATAAAATATAAAAAACTATACACGTCTCACATGAGTTATTTCGCTGCACTGTTCACAGTAAACCATCTATTGTGTATTGTATTGTATTGAATGAAAGTTTTACAATACATTTTATAGTAATAATAAAGTTTTATAATAATTAATAATAGGCCTACATCCATGCTCCTTAGTGTTACCACAAACAAAAGCTGGTTGCCAATTACAACCGCCAGTAAAATCCCCAGAAGAAAAATCACAGACAATAGAACAAGAGAAACGCTAGAGGGCAGCAACACACCACAGCTGCGTGTAGGAGCTATAGAGGAAGAAGGAATAGGAAGCGGTAGTTACAAATGGGTGGGCACCGAAGGAAAAATGTCTCAACCTTTTAACAAAATTAAATCTGTGAAAATTAGGAGATATAAGGACAACAGAAAGTACGGAGTTGCAGCAACAAATGTGAAAGAGCTGCTTAAAAAAGGCTGCAAGTTATTAAAGGTGAGTTCGTATGTTGTTTGCTGGTTTGTTTTGAACAGTTTTACTTCCGCGGTTTCGTCCAGTCCAGAGCGGTTAAAGTAGAAGTTCAGGGTCATCTTCACCTTGGTAGAGCAAGATGTGAAGGTGCATAAACAAGGGGAAAAGCAAACCGGGGAACACACTTGCAGTGTGTGGAGCAACTTTAATGTAGAACCTTCGTCGGGGTCTGTTAAAAGTATACACCAAAGAGTCCTATAAGTAATACAAGTCTGAAATGTTTTCTACATTTGTATTACATATAGGACTGCTTTAACGCGTTGCTCTATATATGAACGTTGCTGGACCTTTTGTTAGTCATCTTCACATTCGAAAAGACATGGGGAATCTCTCAGCTGTGTATTGTCGGTTTTCTTAACATGATGAATAATCATACGCACACAAAGTAAACACACAGGTTAACTAATCAACATAGTGCCAATCTTCTACTAACTAAGTTCTTAATTCAGTCTAGTATTACTTTGTTAATAATTTTACTCAACAGTATCCCACAGTGTGTTTACATTATGCTCAGACAACTCGGATTCCAAAGAGATACGTGATATATACTGAAGATTAACACTTTATTTAAATTGAGAATAACAGCAGCACACATGTAAAAGAAGTAGGCAGGAATAGTATACAGAAGAGTAGGCAAAAATATACAGACAAATCAATGTTAGAAGGCTGTTACCCTAGATCAGTATGCATCAATCCAGATCAACGTGATATAACTGCTATATATTTATAAGATATTAAAGATAATTTAAAATGTTAGTTCTTACAGATTAAATCCTCCAAGTGAATGACATCGTCATTCAAAGGCAGGCAGACACTGCCTGCTCTCCAGCACATACTGTTAAACTCACTGTACCAGAAAGAAAAGTTCCTGTTTGGGGAAATAAATCTGTTTAAGTTAAGGCAACAACTACAATATGGTGAGTTTGTTCAGTGTGGGCTGGACGGCAAGTGTCTGCCTCTTTAAGAAATAGACATAAATATAACCATTTCATCTGAACAGACTGTCAGTAAAGCTCTTGTCTCTCCAGATAGCATGTAAATTCACTATAAATTGTAAAATAATTAATACAATAAAATATTGCATGAGATGTGTCATCCATATTTCTAGCTGCCATGTCCTGGAGCACATGTTTGTTTGTATGCGGATGGGACAGCCGTGACAGAGGACATTTTCCCAAGTCTTCCTGACAACACTGAACTGGTTCTTCTCTCCAGAGAGCAAACATGGAGTGGAGGTGGGTGATTTGACTTCAGACACAATAAAAAAACTTCACTGAAAAAAAATCAAGACAAAGTGCTTCAATTCTAAATGTATATGTTCTCTCCTGGCCAGTCAAATTTAATAATAATACATTTTATTTGTAGGGTGTCTTTAAAAAAAAAAACAAGGTCAAGTTATAAAACAAAGTAATCAAATATACAATAACAGAATAAAATAAGATCACCATGAATAAATGAGCACTATAAAACATGCACAAATAGCACTACATGACACATTAGGTATGTTCGAGATGACTCAGATCTGTGCAGAATTGATCACCGGCGATCGGCGCACAATGACCTGACTTGATCCCGAGTCATGCTGAGGTGTAACGCCCACGTGGGTAACAATATTCTCACGGGATTGAGGTGGCTGTAGTGCTTGGAGCCAGGTGCCACAAATGCCCAGGCATTTCCCATCATGCCCCGAGCTTTTGCTCTCCACCAACTGCAAAAGCTCATCTGAGAGTCGATTGGTTGAGATGCTGGATCAACAACATGACACTTTATAGAAACATATCATTTCTTGTACAATTGTGATTTTATTAGTTGGTATTTGCACTATGTTAACAGAATAAATGTGTTTGGTGGTGACTTTTATCAGAAGCTTAATACAGTCAGCGTACAGTACATTACATAGTTCTCATATACTGCGGACAGTCTTTGATAGTTCTGCTTTACAATATGAACTGATTTAATTAGTGAAGTATTAATAGTATTAAGTGACACACAAGCCTTTGGTAAGCCAGGTTGCGACATCTGTACAGAGGTGAAGCTGTGGCAGGCTAAATATTTTACTTTTTATAAAATCAACTCTAACAGGATGTGAGTGCTTCTGTGAATTCCTGTACAGACTGAAGGCTGCCAAAAAGCTCCTAAACTGTCGGTCCCGACAGTGGACTTTTGTCACTGCCTCCTGCTGCCACCACCTGCCCTCCTCTGTTTGTGAGGCAGGGCGCAGTTCATCTTGAACCAGCCTAATGACATAATCAGCACTGATAAGCCTGCCCAAAAAGATGTTTTAGTTGCCATGTTAAATTCAAAGCCAAGCACATTGACAAAGATCATTCCAAAACCTAGGTGCAACAATTGAGAAGGCTCTAGCACCTATCATAAAACTATGTTTAGAGCTAGAACCCTTATAAATAATTCCTGTGATTTTCAGTTGCATGTGACATCAGTCAGTTACTGAGCACAGACCAGCAGACCTCTGAAGCCCTCATTGAAGCAGCAAAAGGGCTCATGTTGGATGAGCAGTCTCCTAAGAGGTGTAAAATCCTGGCTGACCTGCTACTGACCCTGGAGGACAGATCTGTGCTGGAGAGCAGAGAGGAGGATGAAGACTGGTTCCAAGGTAAAGAGGCCAGCGGAGACTCAGGCCATTCCACCCTCGAGCTACCTGGCACACGATGACAAAAACATTTTCTCAGTTTGTCATTATAACAATGTTTTAAGGAGATCGTTCTCATGTTATAAGATTATATTTTAATATTAAGTTACATATTTTCTCATTAATACTACATGCCACATTATTAGTCCTTTTGACTGAAATGCCACCATTAAGATAAAGCTGTTGTTTTTAATCCTATCACAGAAAGAAAAACATTCTCTGTCTCTTGTTTGTTGCAGCAGATACTTCTCATACTGCGAGTTGTAATGAACATCAGAGTTGTTAGGGACCATTAGCCTAGCTTTAGGGTTTAGCTCTCGACACGCATCCAGAGTAGTGCGAAGCTGTGAACAGCTGCAATCGGCTTCTTATCTCATTTCCACGCTCCGGGATGAATAGAGGCTTTTGATGGTTGTGGCAAAAAAAGAACATTTTAATGGAAAGAGGAAGTACAGAAATCTGATTTAGAGTTTGAAGGTTTTACTTGTCAGTGATATGATCTGATTTCCTCCTGTAGGTGTTTTTATCCTTCATGATTCATGCTGTATTACAGTGCAGAAATATGTTTCCGAATAAAAGAAATGTCAGGATAGCAGCTGGATAAGGACTCTGTGTCAAATGGTGACTTCAAAGATAAGAATATACTGTTGGATGCCCCAAGATTCATCTAGAGAGATTGTCCAGGCAGTTAGTATATTCTTGCTTTTTACAGGGCTTTTGATTGAAACCTGTTATCACAATGTCCCTGTATCTAATATTATTTTCCAACATCATTTCAAAAACCCACCCAGATTGAGTATATTACCCAGGGTTGAGTAACTAGTGAATGAATATGTATCAGCTGGATACTGCCACTGTATGTCAGCGTGTTGGTGGTCCTGAAGTGATTTATATGAATATGGCATCAGAATGATAGATACAATAAGAAAGTAGGGGTTGTAATTGATTGAGCAAAGGAAATGTGTGATAGAAATATGAGGATGTCCTTTACAAATGCTTCACTAAACACAAACATTGACTCAAGCCATCTGTAGTTGATCTGAAAAGCGGGATTTCATTTCAGGTGTCGATGCTCGATTTGCTGAAAAGCGGAATTTCATTTCAGGTGTCGATGCTCGATTCAAGACAAAGTCTGCTTACATGAAGTACAACTGTGAAAGCAGGATACGAGGCTACATGAAGGAGGTACAACAGAGGCCAGCAGATGTTTAGCTCATTAGACCTGTTATTGAATCCTCCTACATCAGGCGTTTGGCATACGGTCTAACAGTTTGGGGGCTTTTTGTCTCCCTTCTCAGGTAGATGATGCCATCAAAATTATTCAGAAAGCCAAAGTCAGGACAGAGTTTTTGAAAACATCCAAGCGTCTGGTGGAAATGCTGAAAACAGCCAAGTACAACGGCTGCTACTTTGACAGGACTGAAAAGGAGCTGGATCGCCTCTGTACTCAGCAAGGATGGTTTACCTGTAAGGTAGGACAGGAATAAAACCACATACCAAGGTGTTGATAGTTGTACTGGAGCTGAGTGAATATACTGCAGACTACTGTGTCAGGACTGGACTGACCACATACAATGTGGCCAAAAATGCAAAGCACTGGACCTGCTTTTGACCATGGTTACAATTCTTCCTTTGTACTGCCTCCTCAGGGATCATTTGACCAGGACGAGTGCCAGTCTCGCCACTCCATCAACCCATACAGCAACCGAGAGAACAGGATTGTCTTCAGCACATGGAATCTGGACCACAGGTTAGACACTTGCTGGCTGTGGTGGACATATTCAAAAGCAATCGGGAAATAAGCTTTTTGACCCGGTGTCGTCCTCTTATCATGAGATCTGGGCCTATGTAGGCACATTTTTCTCTGGCTAAAGTGAAGCTAACTCAAATCACACCTCATGCAACAATATAGATGTTGCAAATATCTTAAAGTATGGCTTGACAAATGTTTTTCTTTTAACACACTGGAAAAACTTGCAAACTTAGACTAAAACTATGGTTTTATTTTAGGTACAAGCCTTTTCTTTGGAAGTCAGGAAAAGGCTGGTTGCTACCACATTCTTAACCAGTTCGTGGTGACTTGCTATACATGACTGCTCCCGCACAGTCTTCTTAGGTCAGACAATGTTTATCATGGCACATTAGGATTTCTTACAAACTTAAAACTAGAGCATGGACTGGGCCACATATTTCTATCCAAACCTCACCCATGCCCGAACCCGACAGGTTTATAGTATATAATGTGCAAAACCGACCTGAGCCCGACAGTTGTTTGTACAGCATTTTCCCCTTCATCATTAAATAAAGCAGACATTTGAGTGCTCTAGCCATCCAGCCTAAAGTTTGACCTATACGTATCCGAACCTGACCCAGACATAATTTCTAAATTTCTGTCCAAACCCTCAGGTACTGACGGGTCCACACTCTTTAAAGCCTTTAACCAGTTATAGTTTTTTTGATAATTTGACATTAGAACAAGTATTTGAATGTGAACTTCATGGTTTACACAAGGACTTTGTTTAAACTAGGAACTATTAAACTCTAAACTAAATAATGTCTCAAACATAGAATCTTTATTTCCTAGCATTAAGTAAGGTTGAAAGATAAAGTTAAAACATTTCTTCATTGTGTGTCCAGGATAGAAAAGAAGAGGGCAATCATTCCCACTCTCCTGGAAGCTCTACACAGTCACAAGAGCACCGACATCAACCTGAACTACTTCTACCGCCTGCTGTTCACCAAGGAGAACCTCAAGCTGGTTCACATTGTGTGCCACAAGAAAGGAGCTCATGATCTACTCTGTGACACCAAGAAGATTTTTAGAAGAACCAGCAACACTGACAAAGGATGCCAGAAGGCCAAAGGGAAGAAGAGGCGCTTGGTGTGAATATTTTTATTTTTTTAATGAAAAACTGTTTTTATGTTTGTGTGAGCTGTGACAACAATGTATTACAGATACATTCTGTGAAGTCCGCTGTAGCAAGATCAGGTCGCTTCACCGTTTACCCCACCTGATTTTTTTTTTTTTTTGGTACTTAGCTGTTTTCTGAGCTGTTGTACTGTGCAGAACTTTAACACAGACTGGCAATGGTTGCTTAAAATCATGAAAAACATTTATTTTTATTTTGTGTTGGCACAATGATGTAAAATGCATTAATTTATTACAATGACATCTCACTGTATGAGTTATTCGTTCAGTCCAAAAGTTGAGTAGGAGAATATGAAAAGCATTTTGCATAAATAAAGCAGTAAAAATCTGGACGGTCAGAACAATCAGCTATATACAAACTTCTACAACAACTGTGAATAACAAGTGCAATAGATAACTGGGTTACATTGTCAGTCAGGTTTATGTTGGTAAATGGTCTTATACTTGTATAGCGCCTTTCTATGCTTTTACAGCACACTCAAAGCGCTTTCACATTATTCGGCCATTCACCCACCCAAGCACTCATGCATTCACACACTGGTGACATCACTGGGAGCAACTGGGGGTTCAGTGTCTTGCTCAAGGACACCTCGACATGTTGACTGGACAAGCCGGGAATTGAACCGCTAATCCTCCGGTTAGGAAACGACCCGCTCTACCTCCTGAGCCACAGCCGCCCCATATTACCTCAGTTTACGTAAACACTGGAGACTCACCAGAAACTGCTTTTAGTCATAATGTATTTCTGTGTATTAATTTGTCTTGTTTGCAAATATGAACAGGAATCATATCAGGGAAATTAATTTGCATTGATATGTACACAGACATATGTGTTATATATTAAGAAGCTGCCAAAAGCTACACAAAAGATGTGTTGAAGCGGATTATTAGACACTCGGTGAACAATGACTATTAGGCACAAAAATGCTGACTTGACATTCATCTGAAATAACCTGTGATATTAAATACTTTTTTTTAACTACACTTTGGTTTTCTCCTTCTGTATCACATTTATACAATCTGAAAATGCAAATATATCACAATGCTGCTTTTGTGAAAATGTGACTTTTTGACATTTGTCAATTTAATTCAGCACTGCTAAAAACCTGCCCTAAAATGATGAACCAATGTGTTATGATCTGTATTTAAAGTGCTGTGCCAACATACCTTCCACTAAAACCAGTTACAAATGAACCAGGAGCATAGATTCAGCAATAAAACATAAACAAGCTGTACTTGATGTTAAAAAGTGCCCATGTTAATCCATTACTGTAACTATGTTCAAGGCCAAATGTAAACAAGTTTGCATTTTGTGCCTTTTTGGACGGTCCTCGTTATGAATCTTGAAGTTTAATCACTGAGAAGTTGCTTTAAAATGTATTAAATACCAGTGGGCAAATCTGGTTACATTCACATTAAAGCTCAGTTCTGATTGGTTAGTCAGACACTGAATGTTGACAACAGTCAGTATACATATGCACATGCACAGATGAGTGAGATGTTTTAAAAAAAAAAAACTTTCCATCTGACCATTCTGACAGCAGTTGCAGAGTCAGAGATCAATTTAGGTCCACCAATGCAACTGGCCCAGATCCGATTTGACTTTTTCACATATCCATGAAATCATGAATCAGATCTGAGTTACTTGGAGGAAAAAGCATGTCATACATAGTCTTATGTCAGCAACTCATCTGACAATGGTATTTTTAACAGTTATTTTCTTGACAGCTGACGAGGACTGATTTTATACAAGTGCCAAGAGGCTTTATGTCCTTCCAGAGACAACTGTTTTGAGCCCACCACTCACCAGTACTGTTACCCATCACTACAGTAAGTGCCTCCTCTGTCCTCTCGGTGCACACTGCTGAGGCCCACCTCCTCTTCATCGCTGTCCTCTCGTGCATAGTAATGACGTCTCCTGTTCTCCCTTTGAGCACTGGCAGAAGTTGATGATGAGCTTTGGGGAAAGTCCTGTGGGGTAAAGAAGCCAAATTTTGGAGTTCAACATGACTTTCAGCTTAAAGACACTGTAAAGAATTTTTATGCCTTTACTATTGTAGGTTTTATCAGAAGACATTTTAGTCCATTTTGACTTATGATTCATCCTACAATGAGCCTTGAAATTTAAGCTTGACAGCTGATTTTTGAACTTGGAAACAGCAACTGACAAACAATCTCAAGGTTCTCTCTGCACTTGTTCTGGAGCTTTGGAACGTATCATACAAAGCTCATCAGCAGATTCCGGCTACTTGTTAAAATTTTGTCGTAAAATATTGCTCGTAGAACATACTGTACAGTGGAAAGAAAACATAAGTGAACCCTCTGGCATTGTCTGCATTTTTGTAAATCATGGTCCATGGATATGTGGAACAGGGTGCCCAAAGCAGAACACCGTGGAGGAATCCGCTGCTCTCCAAAAATAAATAAATAAATAAATAAAACTGCACCTGCAACACTCCAAAGCACTAATGGGAAAACATTCTATGTACTGATGAAACTAAGATTCAGCTGTGTGGCAGGAAGATGCAGCAATGTGTGGTGTAAAAAGGGCAATGTAATAGTTCAAAACTCTGACAAATAGTAGGCTACACAGTGAGAAAATTACCTGCTACACATGAAATGCATGTATATGTACAGTGTATCCAACCTGCGGTAAAACGGCAAATACAAACTACATACGCTTCAAATGGAACTGCGCTCAGCAGCACTGATGTAACAGATATCCTCCTGTTTCTAGTACCTGTTTACATTTGTAGAACTACACATATTGCATTTCATTTTAGCTGGAGACTTCTAAAAAAAAAAAAAGAGAGAGAGGAAGATGGCAATGTAAAACTTCAATACGACATTTTTATTGCCATTTAATTTGTCATTAAATAAAAGTTACAAAAGTCTCTGTGTATGCTGTCAATTACAATTCTTAGAAAGAAAATCAGAATCAGCCAAAACTGGAATCAGCCCAAAACATTGTAATTGTTGCATGTCTATTTTATTACTACACAAACCTGTTTTAAACAACATAATCCAACTACTGACTCAGTTATTGAGGTAAACTAAAATGCCTCACCTGTAGAGTGTCCAAGTTTCCAAAGAACTGCTCCACAGGAAGAATCTGATTGCTGTCATCATCTGGGAACACGTTTCTGCCAGTTTCTTCATAATCCATCTCCTCAGACTCCTGTTTGTCCTGGATGTCGTTCACTCTGCAGCTGTACAAATCAAACCCCGACGTCAGCTCGTTCTCTTTGCCATCCTGTTCTTCAAGCTCTGGTGATGCTGAGCATTTCCTCCTGCCTGCAGACTGGTGGCATTCACAGCTGATGACAGAGTGTCTTTCCATTGAACTGGCTCTCTTACTGTGAACACTGACTACTGAACTGCTCTCTGCTGCTGAGTGTGTCTTTAGGTTTTTCATACATCTCCTCCTTGTAGTAGAAGCCTGTGACACAAAGTTAAAGACCAGGTTTAGGATGATGCAAAGGGGCAAACTAATCTACAGGTACCCAAGATTAAACATTTAATGGCTGGAAACAAGTAAATGAGCACACCATGGGGACTTTAAAGAAAACATTATTCAACTTAAGAGAGATTCTCACCGAGGATCAGCAGCAGATTCAGTACAAGTGCTGTATTTACTTTCTCTTTATAAAAGCTGTTCTCTCCTGTATAAACATAATACAAACCTTTCGGGAGCTTTTCACCTCAGAGCTGCTTTTCCTCTTCCTGGACTTTAAGTTGTTGAGTTGACCAGGCATCTGCAAAGCAACATAATGTGGACTGTTTATTACTTTGTGGCAATGCTCAATTATACCAATCAGTTCACAAAAAAAATGTGAGTTTCAATCAGCAGGGATGCTACTACTAATCACCCACTGCACTTCCTTAGGTTCATGATAGTATCACAAGCCAAGTGATTTTCCAAAACATAGCCATCTAAAAGAGTAGGTTGATTTCAACTGGACAAATTTTTTTGTGGGACCCAGTTTTAACACCACCAAGATGCTGGTATTTCTACCAATTCCAGCAAACAGATAAACGTAGCTTATGCACACCAAGTGTACCTGTGTGTGCACTGAATGGCAGCCTACTCACCATAGGCGTCATTAAACCCCTTTTACTGGGGCCCCAGTATTGATCTGCTGTTATCCAGTAAACTCACATATTCAGGTCTTAACAAGCTCTTGTATTTCACACAGGTCAAATGATGTCTGTTTTATGCACATTTAACAAACAGATGAACTTGAGGCAGAAAAGGAAAGTGTGAAGGAAACTGTCAGTGCAGGAACCTCTATGGAGAGCGTAGTGTAACCAGCCTTCCACAGCACTGATATGTGATTAGATTGTTGTTTTGTTTTTTATTAATGACTTGTTGATAAACTTGCTGTGAAAGTTTAAGTTTGACAAATTAAACTGGGGCTACTTGGCAATCAAATTATGATATCGTGAAATGCAGAATGCAAAAAAAATGTGCAATACAGGGCCAGACTTTTGCACATGTTGAGAATGGTCTTGATGCATGTTGAAATAAATATTTTTATTTTACCAGTAGTTGTTTCACTTTCAGCAGCAGCAGTATGGCAGTGGAATAGTGGGCTAAGCAAAGGAAATTCATATAGCACATTTCATTCACAAAAATAATTGTGTTTTGAGTAATGGGGAGGTCTGTGCCCCATTAAGAGATGTATGTCTAGCAACGCCCTTGTTACTCACAGTCATGTCATTCAGTATATTGATGTTTTGTATAGTTTACTTTAGTCAGCTCCAGACGATGAGGTAATCCTGTCAGGACATGTCAACTGCACACACTTTATTAAAAGCGTCGAGAAGTGTCCCTCTGTAGCCTCCGCTTACCAAATCTCTCCCAAAATACTGACAATTTAACGTCACATTACTCATCTGCCATCACCCAGTTTACTCCATGAAATGTTGAGCTTTACCCCACTAACGTTATATATAAACCTTTTAGGAACATATAAACCGTGCCGAATAAACATTAACAAAATATAGTAAACAAATTTGGCCTTTTAAAATAATAGCATATGTCCAATAACGTTAAAAGGCTTTTGTCAGTTCAAAGCAACACATAGCATTGGTGAATAAGCTATCATGGTACGAGGGATGTATGTAACAAAAAGGGTCAAATAGCCAGCGACTCCACCCCTGTCTTTGGTTCAGTAACACAAACATGGGAAGATTATGGGAAATCCTAAAAACTCACTAAAACTACCAGAACTGTCTGATATTCGATCTTGACATTTGAGCTACGAGCTAATAATGCTAGCAATATAGCTATGGGCTAATTTACTTAGTGTCTGTTAAGCTGAGCTAACGTTAAACTCTTACCTTGTGAATCATTTAACAGGGTTATGCTTGTTTTTCAGCGATATTAAAGTTTTCGAATGTCTTGTTCATTATTAGCATTCAAATAAACTGTCCTGGCTGACTACAAACAACCACGGTGACTGAACGATGTGTGGCGAAGTTGTCAATCTCGAGCACGCTCGGTGTATTTCATTTTCCTGATTCCGAGGTTCCCTCGAAGGTCAGACCGTCTCTGGGTGTTTCCCACTACCTTAAAACGCCTCCTCGTTTCCCACATACGCGTCTTAGCTCAGGCAGTTCCTCGAAATGAGAGAACTCGAAGAAATACATTTTAATGAAAACGACTCATCCTTTGCTCTGATTCCTCATGCACAGCTGAATCTGCTGTCAGTCCGCAAGTGTATTCATTCACCGCAGTTTTTATTTGCGTAGATGATGTGATGCGCTGACAGATAATAGACCCAATAAAGGCAGCGGTGGAAGCAGCTACTCAGATTGATTATATACGTAAAAGCAGTAATAAGCCTACTACCACATTTTCTGTGGATCATGCTGAATTTAATTGCAGGTTTTATGTCTGTTTAAATATATATGAGAAGATTTTCAGAACTGTGGTTTTGGTTTAACACATCAGGTGGCAGCCGACGGTAACAAAATATAAGAAATGACCACAAGAGGGTGCTAAAAGCTTTTCAAATCTGTGATCCAACAAGTGCCAGCTCATATAGGCTACAGGCTATTTTTAAGTAATTTTTAATGGCCAAATTCCAAATGCGCATTTAGCAAATATACCCTTCTCTTTTTGTACTTGAAAAATTAACTTGAGGTTTTCGAAAATGCTAATAAAACAGTGTTTTGGTGTGTACAGTATTTCGTTTGCTCTCTATGTTTGTTGTGTTGTGTTTTTCTACAGTACTGGTCTGTACCACAGGCAAAATTGTTTACTCTATAACGTTTTAGAAAAGTTTAAAAGTGCTTTTTTTTATTTCACCGTTTATCATCTGTGGGCACCTGGTGTGTTTGGGGGTGGGGGGTGAAAAATGGGAAACCTGCTGTGTGGATGGGTCATTTGTGGGAGGAGATATTTAGGAGGAGGTGTTCTGAGTGAGAAAGACCAGCTCAACACTCTGTCTCTTTAGGCTCAGAAGACAAGAAGCCTGGGAACATGCTGCCAATATGCGCCCCGGGCCTACTTCAGTGTCTGCGTACTAGTGGCACAACCTCTGATGTCCAAATGAGAAAGGGCGGTGGTGGTAGATTCTGTTTGGATGCACAATTGTGAAGCACTATGAAGGCAAAGGGTCCAGCATCTGAGGGTCTCTTGACGTCACTATGAATCGCTTTTTCCGAAGAAAGCGGGTTGGTCCGCTGAAAAGCCTACTGAGCCTGTGTCTAGTTTTTGCGTCTCTTCTCATGATCCAGAAGTTGAAACCATCAGATAAAGAAGTGGAACATAGGAGGGATACCGGTTGGTGCGGCTCCGACTGTTTTTCATTCAAGAAGGGAGTCGCGAAAACTACTGTAGGGAGCTCAGACACTTTGGTGTTTAGAAAGGATTTGGATGCGCAAGGGGTTTCCGAAAGGACTCCGTCTTCCTGGGACGCACAGGTTCTCAAATGCACAGAGAACGCGTCGGTAAGGAACGAGCACTGGTTCCAGCACTTGAACCCAAGATTTCACCAGTTCGTACTGCACAGACACTGTAGATATTTTCCCATGCGCATCAACCACCCGGAGAAATGCGTGAAAGAGGACGTGCATCTCCTCATGGTGGTCAAGTCCGTTATTGAGCAGCACGACCGGCGGGAGGCGGTGCGCAAAACCTGGGCTAAGGAGCGCACAATGGATGGGAAGAAGATCAAAACGTTATTTCTTTTAGGAAGCCCAGTGGCTGGCAAAGACACCCATAACCTCCAGAAATTGATCGAGTACGAAGACCAAATCTATGGGGACATCCTGCAATGGGATTTCATGGACACCTTCTTTAACCTGACTCTAAAAGAGGTCAACTTTCTGAAATGGTTCGATATATACTGCTCTGGCGTCCAGTTCATATTCAAAGGTGATGATGACGTGTTTGTGAACACGTACAACCTGTTGGAGTTCATCCACACCAGAGTGGAGGAGCGCAAAGAGGTCGACTTGTTTGTGGGGGACATCATCAGCAATGCGACCCCCATCCGAAACAAGAAAAGCAAATACTACATTCCCAAAGAGCTATACGATGCGCCATATCCTCCTTATGCCGGCGGTGGGGGGTTTCTGGTGTCCGCCCAGCTGGCAAGGAAACTATTTGTGGCCTCGGAAGAACTACAAGTCTACCCTATTGACGATGTGTTTTTGGGGATGTGCCTGCAGAAGCTTAAGTTAGCCCCAGAACGGCACCAGGGCTTCAAGACCTTCGGCATTACCAGACTTAAGCCTAGCTCAATGAACAACGAGCCCTGCTTTTACAAAAACCTCATAGTAGTGCACAAACTGAGCCCGCAGGAGCTGATCGAGATGTGGAGCATGGTGAACAACAATGACCTGATTTGCGCGCAACGTATCATCATATGATTGTCAGTTTATATGACGTAGACGAATTTACCAAAGCCGAACTGAATACACATAAGACTTGTTTTTAAATTGATGATGATGATTATGAAGCCACTACACAGGACTCCACAGTGTGCCATGTCAGATTGTACTCTCATGGCTCTGTTGTCTTACATCTGAGATCCAATGTTTCTTTGGCTATATGGCTGTAATGTTTTTTGTGCATTTGTTAATGCATAAATAAGACTTAAAACTAGAAACTGCTGTTTTTCCTCAGAATTTCCTGATTTGGGGATTTCAGTGTGACTGTCAGAGTGAACTATATGGACTCACAGACAAGTGATTATTTTATACAGGAATTGTAAAAACCTATTAGTTGTTTTAGTCAACCCTTTATTTTATCTTGTAATTGTTAATGTATTTGAATATGATTTTCAGAGGCAGGTCAAAAATCTAAAAAACTAAAGGGCTGTAAAACTGTTAATCTGTGTATGACAGCAATGGTGATCCCAGGGGGTGGCTTGGTTCCCATGTAAAATTACTGGTCACCCCCCCAACACAGACAAGTACGAAGCCCCAGTCATTTTAATTCTTTGCAGGAAATTATGTTTGTACATGATTTGTTGACAAAACTACTGAAATGGAAGGTCATGATGGTTGTTATTAAATTATAGTGTATAAATCACCAAAATTATAAAAGCAATAAAGAAACTGAGTATGAAATCTAATGTGTTTTCCAGTTGCATCAGAACTTTAGGTTCACTATATTATTCTATAGAATACAGATGCAAAACTGAAACCACTTGTAGAAGCTGTAGCCACCTAGAGTCTTGACATCTGAAATACAATTTAAGTTGAAGGCTGTGATACAAATACAAATGATGGAAGACAGTTACAAATAATATGAAATATGATATGCTAGATATAAATGAAATCTTTATTATTAGCCAATAATTAATATTTATGTTTAAACAACCCACACATTTCATTTTATTGTTGATGATGCATTCAAATTGGAATTGATAATTAACAATTCCTTGGCTGACCTTGTGTGGATATGATGATGTTCACATAAGCTCAGCTAAGGAATTGAACAGTATGAAATTAATTTTACCCTATACCAACTTTCCCTTTCTATCAACTTACATAACCTGAAATTCCTCTATGCTGTTTAACCTTGTAGTATGCCACCAAAATCTAACTGGTCCCACCTGGCCCCGCCCACTAAATATTTACCTGCAGGCACTGCAGCATGATAGTGTAATAAAAGCGGACTGCTTTGTCAACTGTGTAAAAATGCTATGAATACTGAAGGGTCTGATTTAAGTTGCCTCATGTTCTGCAGGGATGGCCTTAACCTAAATACGTATTTGTGTTTTAAGTGTTAGTTTCACCTGTCCTCAAGGCTGAAACAGCATTTTGGCATGTGAATCACATCTGCAGTGTTCACCTTAATTTAACTTTATTTAAGCAAATACAGATACATTTGCAGAAAAAAACTAGTAATTTGATATCAACATATTTCAGAAAATACTGACTACTGTGTACATAAAGTGCAATAAAATATCCACTGTTACAACAATCTTCAATACAGAAGCATATTAAAGCTAAAGTCATGGATTGGAATGTTCTAAACTAAATGTACTCTTTTTTTTGTATCAGCTATAGTGAAATTGTTTAGCTGTATGTCCACGACAACAGTTAGTACTATCACACACATACAGTAAATAAAGATTTCTTATGTTACAAAATCCGACACCCCTTCAGACTGCTTTGGTTCAGTGTTATGTCTTGGCTGCATATAAATCAAAGATACACTACAATCAACATCATCATAACATTGTGTAGTACAGCAGAAGTAGTAACATTTTAGTAATACATATAAATCTTAAACATTAAAGTCACTGAAGTGCTCAAAATTGTTGTAGTCAGCCAATGTTGTGTCCAGCCAAGATCAAGTAGATCTGAGGAAACATCCTACAGTATTCGTTCAACTGCAATCTCTCTGTCTCCATCACTACATTAAGATTGTCAGTAAGCATTAAGCATAAGTATAAACTTTATTGCCAAGTATTTAAAAATACAAGGAATCTGACTCCAGCTCAATGGCCCCATTAAGAGGAAGAATAAATTAGGTCCATACTGTACTAAAATTCAGCAGTGGAGTATCATCTCTTTGGCAAAGTGGTACTTTAGTCCTTCAGTATAGTTTTTAAGACAAAAAAATGAAAGGAAAATGGCAAACAGATGGCAAACCGTGAAGCTGACAGTACAGCTATGCTGAGGTTGTTGATGGCTTTGGGACTGAAGCATCATCTGCTAGAATGTCACCAAAGGACACTAACTAAACTAACTAAACGTCTACCTCGCACTACTGTTTCTACAAAGAGAGGAGTGACTAACTAAACGTCTACCTCTCACTACTGTTTCTACAAAGAGAGGAGTGTTTCTATCAGTGTCAATGCAGATTAGATACAGAACTAAAGAACTGATTCAACAAAGATTCTATGCATTTACATCCTGAGTTTTACTGGAGGATCTGGGGTCTAATATGAGAAATGAACCCTGATGGTGACAGTGACATCGGATTTATCTTAGCTTGAGCTAAGATAAAGTTGCATTATGGGAAGTGTCACTGGAAATTGACTCACACCAGGAACTAAAAGTCAGGTGATCGCTGCCATTGCAGCTTTAATTTTGAACTTTCTTTTCTTAGTTACCCAACTTGGATGGCAGTATGATACTAAATCAGTGGACAACCCCCTTTAGCTGCCCAGTTCCCATCTCCTAACAGCAGTGAGTGATTCAAAACAAAGCCTCTAAAACCAGATATTGTCAGTAAACAGTGCTTGTTTCACTGGTTTGGTGTGTGATTTCAGAGATAAAAAGACTGTTCCAACGACATCTTATTTTGTGTATGTCAATCGCTATTCCTGAAACCACTTTCTATATGCCCTTATGCAATTTTGGACCAAAAAATATGCAAGTGAGGTGTAATTGCTCAAGGGATGATTGCTGCTATTGGGTTCTTCCTCTAAGTATAAGAAGAGTCACCTGGGTGCTTCAAACCAGTTTCATCACTTCCCTGCTGTATGTCCTCTGGCAAAGGGTGCCAAGGATGGGATCCGGCTCCCTCGGCCAATGGGACTGCCTCTGGCCCCGACCGACCAGGACTGCTTCAGCTTAGCTCCACTGACAGCCCCGCCTGGACATATACAAACACACATACAAAATGACATCCTGACAGTAAACGTAGAGCTTTAACATAGAGGTAAAACACTGTATTGTTATTTACTGTTTACATAACACATCTAAAGTAAAGGTAGCAATACCACTTGGTAATATAGCCTGTTACAAATATTCAGGTATAAATATGAAAAAATAGCACCTGCAAAACAACACTAAAGTGCATCTACCAATCGTGTTTTATGGTGGAAACAGGCTGCATCACCTGAAGTGAAGACCACTAATATCATACAAAATTATTAAACTTTTATTGCATTAAACATGAGTCATGAAGAGAAACCTGGCATGGAGCTGAGAGCTCACTGCGGGTGGGGTGGGGGGGTCAACCTAAGCCGCATGTCTTTGGACTATGGGAGGAAGCCAGAGTACCCAGAGAGAACCCATACAAGCATGGGGAGAACGTGCAAACTCCGCACAGAAAGGTCGCAAACCCAGAACCTTCTCGCTGTGAGGCAACAGCGCTACCCACTGCGCCACCATGCTGCATCTGGCATCAAGATGACTATGACAAGAACTGTACTTTAAGAAAAAAATAGCCATTTGGCTTTATAAACTCACCCTAACTACAAAAAGCATGGTTTTTGTGTTATGACATGACTGTAGCATTTATAACCATGATTGTAAAATATCACTCAAATGGCTATACAAACTATAACTAGCCTCCAAATGACATTGGGTACAGTTTTAATACTCCTCCTGCTGTATGCTGAGGTGGGAAGTGTCGTGTATAGAATTAATTCACAGGGAGAATCACTGCAGTGCCAATCATCATTTATTGAACAATATATTGTAATATGGATTGAGAGGGAGAGAAACAGAACCACCTGGATTTCTCTGCAAAGTTTCTGGGGTCTGTCTGTCTTCTCAAGTCTTCACATTCACCCATGCGCTCTTCAAGTCTCAGTCTGTCTCAGTCTAAGTCTCTTCAGCTTTGCAGCATCATAAAAGCTATCTATTTCCCAACTTCCTCCATTGTCCAGGTCATACCCTTCCATCAGGCCCTCTTCCTGGTATCATTTCTCTATTTTTGGGAAACCCCTACAGCCAGTTACTAATAAACAGGAAACTGGACCCCATGATCATGCAGAGAGAGAAGTACACAGAAGAACAGAGAAATCTGACCATACTTAAAGTTTAACTAACATTGGCCTAATAAGTATTAACTATATCAAGTTTGCTTTTACCACTACAGAAGCCATAGTGGAAAAGATGCAACATAAGCCAACAAGCACTTTTTATAACTCACACTGAACGCCAGGGAGGTACAGTAGGTGTAAGCAGAGGGTGTATGAATGCTTTACCTTGTGATTGCTGGATTCTCTGGGACACCACAGTCCTGCGTGAGTTTTGTTTACAACCCTCCCTGCCCATGAGGTGAGTTTTCCAGGCCTGAAACAGGAACAAAGTAGCTCTGTGAGCCCGATCCTCTTGCAGGTAGCTTCTTGATCAGGACAACCATGGATGACTGTAGGCCCAGTCAAGAACCAGTGGGTGGCCTCCCTCCCACTAACATTGCAGTCTTTCATTGGGTCTATGCTCGGAGCTCTGGCTGCAAGTGTGACTGTTGATCAGTATTTCTTCACCAGATTTTAAGGATGTGTGAGGTGGCAAACTGCATGTTGTGAATCAGATTTTGAATGAGAACACAGACGAGTTATAGCTAATAATGTACATTCTGACATAATCTCTGCATCTCTTATGTTTTACTGTACACAGTAAGTGGTTTGGGAAGCCTGAAAATGGCACAATGTTGTCAGATGTTCATATTTAATCACTCTCTTTTGTTTTGCTAAAACTGCTGGCCAACAACAATACTGACAGAGACTCTTATTTATGATAAGCACAGTAAACAATACCAATCTTTAAGGCTACATTCCAGCTAGACATGCCAGTTCCACTACTGTACCTGCTGTCTCACCGTGACAGCTAACTGGGACACTGGAAATCAAACATAGCTATCATTAGTGATATTAGATACACCCATGCTTTTACTGCTACATGTATAAATCAAAATGTCTGCTGGAAAAAAGACCGATTTAACACTAAATCAAAATACGTAAGCTATACTTCTCTGTGTGGATTTAGATTTTTTAACATGATGTTCATCTGGCCTAAAAGAAAAGGAAGAAAACCTGAGTTTGGACAGGTGCTGCAAAAAAAGCATTATCTAAGTTCCAAATAGCTTGGAATAAAGCTGCATGGCTTGCACTGTCCTGTCTATTAGGAGTGAGGAAAGGTACAGAGGCAATGCATGCCAGTCTCTCATGGCTCAGAGAGAAGGATAGGTTCGCATGCAGTTTACTGAGTTTCTTTAGGAATATATGTTACAGTAAACAACCGACTGAGTGTTTGTACTCAATTAAATTACCAGCTGGGCTACTAGGTGTGGCTTGAAAAAAAAAACCCTAGAACAGATGCCATGCGCAAATCAGTTCTACAAGTTACCATCTGTGATTATTGAAGCACCCTGTAAAGCAGGTTTTAAAAGACTGATTAAAAAACACATTAAAAATAACCCTAACATTAAGTGACTGACTTGAAAGACTTTGATGCAATGTAATTGGAAGTTGTAGTTTAGTTTTAGTCGATTTTATTGACATGAGTATGTTTCATAAATATGTTAAATGTCATGTTACATGTTATGTTTCGTTGTGTGTGGACACCAAGAGAGCAGTTAACTGTTAACAGTTAATGGGGATCTGAATAAATAATAAAGACTCCCTGCCAAACTTATGTCTTCATCACTTGCCAAGTCAAACCTACGCCGTTGCTCAAAAAACATAACAAACTAACAAAAAATAAAATATGGGGTTTCTCAATTACCCGCTTTGTTTAGAGTGTTATACATCTCTTTTCATCACTACATATATCATTGTTTACCTATCTATGGATGAGAAATTTTAATTAATTAATGCCGTCAGTTAGTTGTGCTGTCCACTTGCGACACAACACCAGCAACAGGAGCTGTGAGCGTTCACAAACTGTCCTCTCATTTTTAGGAAGAGACTCTCTGGTTTTATTATTCAGAAAAAATACAGACTATTTCGAGTTATAAGGGGTGACAAGATAATCTAGAGGTACTGAAGATTAAACATTAAATGGCTGGAAGCAATCCATGGGTGTGACAAAACTAGTATGGTTGGATCTACCTGTATAATCGTATAAGGTGCATTTACAGGGTCTTACCTCCTCCCCAGCCAAGAAGTTGTTGTGACACAAAGGACAATGGTTCGAGCTTTTTGCAGAAATGGAGGCTAAAACAGAAATATGATACTTTATATGATATAAGATACCTTTTATGCAGAAAAGGTCACATAAACACTGCAGAGAAAATGATAAGATTACACCATTAGAACATCTTTTTTTATATATATACACAATACCCCTTTGAGGACTGGGAACACATTCTATCAATTCAAATTTCTGTCTACTCACTTACAACCAAAAAGGGTAAAAAAAGGCTTCATGTTTCTGGTAAAACAAAAAAAAAGCCAATTATTTATTGAAACATGGCTGGTGTAAGCCTTGCATTACCTGGCTTTTTATCATATGAATACTGGGCCTCATTCACCAATACCTTCCTATGTTTTTTCTTAAATCTGTTCTTGAAAAGTGTCCTAAAAAAGTCTTTCTCAGAGCCATGACTTGTTCTTCACTATGTTCTTAGGATAATTATTCCCATTGCCCTCATGATATGAAATCACATGCCAGTCATTCATCTTTAGTTCTGATAAACGCCTGCCAATTCCTGACATGTCATTGGAGCACTGTGAAAAAAAAAGCAACCATTGACAATGTCATGAAAGGAATGATGAAGTTAAATGGTCTGTTTGGTGTACTGTCCCTTAGAGACCCTTAGCTCCTCCCACAATGCTTTGTGCTCCTCTCCGTTTTATTTTTATATGCCACCATTACATGTCACTAACTTTGTGTCTCCTCTCTCCCATAGCATGTCTTGTGCTTTTTCAGCAGGTATTCCTGTTCCATCATTGACCACATTAACCTATCCAGTGACTGTTTGTTGTGTTCGTTGGCTCTTGTTGCTTTTCTTTTCTTTTCTCTCTCCTCTCTCCACTCACCCCAACCAGCCGAGGCAGAAGGCGGCCCACCAACAGCCGGGCTCTGTCAGAGGTTTCTTCTGTTAAAGAGAGTTTTTCCTCTCCACTGTCACCAAGGAGGATTTGTTGGATTTTCCCTCTATAATAGTGTATTGTCTAGACCTTATTATGTAAAGTGATACGTTTATTGCTGTGTTTTGGCGCTATACAAATAAAATAGAATCAAATTACTAAGTCTCAGGTGAGTCATCACCAAAGCATTTCGACACAGACCTGTGCCCCGCGTCAGCAGTTTCATGCTTTTGGCTATCTTTTGTCTCAGAGTCAGTCACTGTAAACTTATGGAGCACATAACACATTTAACCTGCAAACACATCATCTTGCCAGCTGCCTCCGACCTGAAGCTCTTTGTGTCAGCTACTTTTATTTTGTGAGTGCTTTCTCCTTTGCTCTAATTGAAATGAAAAAGTATAAACAGACAGGCCACAGAAAACACACTTTACAACAAAGTCACACAGCAGCACAGGTCGCCTGCAGTGTAAAACCTTCAAGTCAAATGATATTAATGATGAATTTTTGTCATCACTTCAACCATTTTCAGAACATTTCCAACAGCATGAAAAAGTGAGAGAACTCACGGTTGCAGGCAGGACCCTGGACATGGTGAGCCAGCTCTTCAGTGGTCACGGCCTCTGAGCAGCATGGGCACTGGCTGAACTTGGACCTGTTTTCACATTCACTCAGCAGGTGCTCCGTGAGGCTAGCTATCTCGACTACCTGAGAACATAGTGCAGAGCTGTACACAAAGTCTTCATGCTGCATTACTTAGGTGGTGATTAAACAGCCGGGCAGATGTCCTCTTTACAAGAGGATTTAAAAAAGTGCATACCTTTAGGAAAGGTAACACTCTACCTGTCTACATTCATCACAGCGTCGCAGCATAGGACAGTGTTTCCAGTAGTGAAGGTCCAGTCCATCTTCCGTGAATGACTCATCCTTTTTACCGCAAAAAAAAAAGAGTGTAGGTAGATAAGATAGATAGACACCTAGTATGCATAAAACAAACACCTACATTTCACTCAAAAACTGCACATTCACTTCTAACATTGAGTATCACATATGTTTAAAAGAGAAGTGCTCATAAATGACTGAGTGCGATTATGGCTTTAGGATAAAAGTTTTTCAATCTGTCGGTGTGTGCTTTAATATAATGTAATGTGTAAATGCTATCAGGTCAGAGCAAAGCAGTGGAAAAGTAATAATGAAAATAATACACAAAAAGAAAGTTAAATTAACACCTCAGCTGGAAAAAAAATTCACAGCATGAAAAACAGACACAAAACTAAATCTGTGAACCTGGTACTCAGCTAATATGCTTAAGTAAAATTATTTTCAGGTTTTCATTGGATTATGAGTTACTTACTTGTCCAGATAGCTGACAGATTGATGGACATCTGTGCTGCTGTCCACTTTCTTGTTCTGGGGCAATTTTGTGACAGCTGGAAATTAAAAATAAAGTATATTTTACTTGTCATGACTGCAACGTGAGGCCACAATTTCAAGTACCAGCCATGAGATGAGAGTCTGCTGAATGAAAAGAAACGCAGTACTTAAAAATAACTTAAAGCTTTGATTAGACTTAAACCAAACTTGCAGGGTACATAACAGTTAATAGTGCTCCATAGCTGGGAAATAGGTTATGTTCAGCTTTTAAGATATACAGACATCACTATAACTAAACAAAGCAAGTAATCAGCAGGATGCTTATGTATTTATATTGTTACGTGTCTCATCATTACATTGCCTTCAAACTGCGTTTTTTTTTTTCTCTGTTATTGGCATGTGAAGACAAGTACCTTACTTGGAGGTTAAGTGGCTAAACTCTTGAGATCACTATTGCTGGGGAACTGACAACAAAAGGAGATACTGTAATGCTCCCTGTCCACTTTGGAAATGTGAAATGATTTGGGTTTTTTAAGTTTCAGCACCATGCTGACAAAACTAAAATAAATAAATAAAAACAATGAGAACGACCAACTACCATGGGCTGTCCCACTTTATGCCATAAAATTTTCTCTTGTAAATTTGTGGGTAATATGAAAGGTCACTTTTGAAGGCATTGGTGCTAGTGCTCGCCTGTCTCAAAAGACTACATCAGCACCATATTGCTGATTTGTACCATAAAACAATGCAATTGTGCTTTAATGCAATCCAAATCAGGTCTGGTGATGTTCAGTATAAAGGGATGCCCTGTAGAATGAGTAAGTACTGCAGTGTGACGTCCTTCCTTCTATTGAGCACGTGTACATACTTCCTTTGACAGCTTTTTGGAACTCTTTCTTGGCCATTTGTCCTTTGGTGCTTTCATCGCCTCTCTCCTTCACAAGCAGACAAAGAATTATTAAGTATTAGAAAAAAAGTTCTAAAAGACATGCTGTTACTCATCTGACAGCTCTAAACTTCAACAGTGACTTCATACAAAGACACTTACGGTATACAATATGTAATAACTGGCAGAACTCCCAAGACTCTAATATAATGTGCCTGTGATGTTATTTGTACATGTAAATAACTGAGATTATAAGTTCCTAGAGAGTAAAACTTCCAGCATGCCTGTGTTGAGTCATAATTAGAAATTAGGAGCAATTATGAAAGGTAATGTAATTGCAGTCTGATGACAGCACCACCTACTGTGATCTCTCTTAAGGCAGCCAGCTGCTCCTGAAGAGAGTGGATCTCATCCTTCTCCTTTTGCCCCTCCTGCTGATGAACTCCTTTCTTCAAAGTCTGGGTGAAAAGTGACATAAGATGCCTCTCCATAAGAGTTATTTTGCTATTACAGTATGTCGTCTTTTTCTCAAATTGTTTTTCATCCTCAAATTGTTAGTTACTAAGTGTACATGTCATGTTACTATATCATTTGGTTTGCAGTTTTCCTGTCCCGTGACTTCCTGGAACCTGAGGCCATAAAAATAAGATAAAAATCTGGCACGGGAAACTTATTTAACCAAAAGAGTTAACCACAAACAAGACTGCTTGGCTGGCTTAGGCAAATGAGGAAATCAGCTGTCTGTGTTAGACAAAACACCACGTTGTCTTCCTCGTTAATATCAGCTTAAACATTTTTTAAAGAAAAAACATGATGTCATGCAGTCTCCTCTAAAAAGCTGAGCTCTTTTCAGCAATAGCATGTTCCCATCTGCTATTTTTCCGCTGTCCACCTACCAGCTGCTCCTCTCAGACTACAATCTGACTAGAAAAAAAAAACACACTTAGCACAGCAGTCAAATGCAAACAATTTTAACACACATAAATGCCAGAAATACTACATTTTAATATATAAAGAGATAATGGATTTCAGGTATTTCTGATTCCCTCTCTTTAAGTAAAGAACTCAATGAGATTAATTTGAGATTTAAAAAAAAAAGTACTTCTTGCCTGAGTCTCCACTACCTTTCCGTCAATCTTGGCAAATCCATCAAAGAGGGTTCTGTAGAGGAAGTTCTTGTTCTCTGTGGATGGAAGGTAGTTGAGAACAGCACTTCTGTGCTGCTGGTACATAGACAAAATGATGCGAACTGCCAGCTCTCGAACTGATGGTGAACTGTGCTCCATCGCTGCTGTACAGAACTGAACAGAGGGAAAACAGGCTTTTATTATCCTGTGAACAATGAGAAAAAATTCTGATTGACTGCATATT